TTGAGCGTAAATGCAAACAGACGCCAGACCATGGGCAACAGGTAGAATGTAAGGAAAATGAAAGAAAAAGTAAAACAAAAATTGATACAGCTTACGCTTCAAGCTTCAGATTTGAGATCATGTCACACATGTACCATCTGCTCTGTAAACCAATTATTAATTTACATTCATCTTCCTTACAAGTTATAATTTCCAGCCGTCGAATTTGAGAACGCGTTCATACACGTGATCGTAACTTGAACTTTCGTCCAACAAGATGCGATTCGCAAAAGGTGTTTGGTGCTGGCAGATTAATTCATTGACACCGCTCATATGATATTATAGTAAGAAGCTTCGTACATGCCGAAGGGACAACTAAACTCGTGCACGGATAAGAAGGCCTTACGCTGGACGTCGGGTTTCACTGACATTCGCGAATCGCGTGAGGGCGAGTTTACCATGCAACGACGGCAACGATCCGCCGACGCAACATGAAGTCAGAACTACTGGTGGCAAGCTCGCATAGTGAGCCCTTTGAACCCGAAAATTTCAAATCATTCAGACTCCGGTATTGCAACAACGTTCAATGGAGGGCCGACGTAATGAGGGATATAGCATTCTCGGAACTTCATAGACTCAACACTGAAAAAAAATCTCATGAACGTCCGAACACCGAATGTGGAACAGAAACATGACATACCTAATGCCATTGCAAGGGCTGAACTTGAATTTTCTAGATAAACTCGCAAATGCGATGTACAATTCACACCACGCGAGACTATAAAAGCGACAAACAGATATAAATCAGCGGACCCCTAGAAATCTTGAAGGAAATCACGAACTTGATGCCTAAACAACTCCTTGGACCTTTCGAGAATGCTACGACGTCAAGGTTCTCTGCTCCCGGTTCCAACCAACGTTCCGGTCGAAAAACATGTGGCTCAGGAAATAATGTCTCGTTCATATCAACGAAAATAGTAGCAACACCTACGACAGTCTGAAAAGATGGTGATTTCAGGATGTTTGTTACTGACATTCATATCGATCCAACTTACCCCACCAGGAATATATTTTCCACATATTTCAAGACCTCCAGAAGGAACAATTCTTGTAGCAGGAACCCAAACTCCATGAGCTAAACGGAGAGATTCCTTGATCACCGCTTTCTGGAGTATGTTCACTGTGTTGAGAACATGCATTAAGTTGTAAAATCTGCTTACGAGGTATGGAAGCTTTTCCAATTCTTCGAATTTAGGTGGCTGTTGGTCCAACCTTGGCCAAACGTTCTTCAACTCTTGTTGTAATTTCTGTTGAATGGTGGGATTCTCCATGAGGTGCATCACACCAAGAGTGATCACATTACTGGAGGAGTCCGTTCCGGCAAAAATGAGCAACCAAGCTTCATTAAATAGATCATGCTTGTCAAGAGAAATACGGGTGTCCTTCCCATTGATAAGTGCGTCATAGACAATAGGATGCGACGTGTTCTTGAGGAGAGTTGGATTGGCAAGTATTTCGGCGATTTGCTTTTCCAGTATCTGTGAAAGGAGATCGGTAAGGGGGATATCTCGTTGACACATCAAGAGATTGGTACCATGCGAAGATTAACATATCCTTTCAAGTCAGGATTCAACCTAGCTGTTACGGGTAGTGGTAGGTAGTTGAGAATGAAATGGACAGATGGGAAGTTCTTGAGCATGTTTACCATAGGAAGAGCGGTATGCAAAGCGTGAAGAACGGGGGAGGCAAATCCCGGTGCTTGGATGGATTGAGCATCAAATGCAAAACAAAAGGAACAAATAGTATCAAGAGCGAATGCTTTAATACCAAGCCCGATATTTGATTCGAGCTCTGCTTCGTGACGCCTGGTCAAAACGTCACACAGCTGATCAACCTGTGTTCTAAGATAAGTCATCAAAGTATAGGAAGAAACAGGCCGCAACAAACAGTACCTTTTCTTGGACAAGACTTTGTAGGTTGACGATGGCTCTCCTGGAGAAAAACGATGTCATTAAATCCTTTCGTTTCTTCGCTTGCGTGTATTCACAGATGCTGAATGACGAAGACCGAAACTTCTCTGCAAAAGCATGATATAACGAGGGATCTTTCGTCCACCTATTGTTTGAATTGTAGATCTGGTGGTAGGCTGATGGGTGTGAAAAATGAAGCTACAGTATTGACGGGACTATAAGAGCAGGGAAATATTCATGTTATTCAGTGGGACTCACCTCGTTCGGACCTATCCTTACAACATCTCCTGAATTCGTTCATTCAACTCGTGCGTCAGAATAAGCACTATTGGATACAGGACATGCACTCACCGTAGATCTCGTGTAGGACAAACAGTTTCTCCGAAAGCCTCTCGCGTGTGACATGATCTAGATAGACCCTCCACCATTTGCTCATCGCAGCCAACTTCGGACCTGGAAACCCCTTCAAAGGGTGTAAATAGAGATTGTACAGCCATTCGGTAAGGGTCCATGTTATCCAACCAGTCAGGAGAATCCAAAAGCTTTCCGTCGCAGTCAACTGAGGTAGCTTTACGAGAACATCTTGCATGAACATTTGTTCCGCTATGAGGATCAAATGCAAATCATAAAACGAGGAGGTTGCGAAAACAGGCTAAGTCGTACTCATGTCGCCCGAGTACGAGGACCCTGAGCAAACCCTGAGCGTGACTTTTCCGGCGTCAGCTCGAGAGAAATATCATCGTTGAAGGGTCCTTGAACATGAAAGTCATAACTTCGGAAAATGAAAAGGACATTTCGCTCTAAAATATGAGAGAAACACTTCATGCCCGAGAAGTTTTGTATATCGAGGAGGAGGAGGAGGAGCCTGGAGGAGTGTATTCGAGATAGTGCAGTTCTGATTTGAAGAATGCGGCACGTGCATCACGCGTAGAGAAAGTGAATTCACGAGAATACTACACGTGCCATATTCCAACATGGCTACTTTCAGTGTATCTCATCTCTGACTCGACTCAGGTTGTTCTCAAATTCATGCAAGCACTGCAAGGGAAACGATGCGAGTCAACATGTCGAGAGTAAGTCTGTATTTCTCGTCAGTCTTACATAAAACAGTACATGCATCACATCCAGTGACTACATCTTACACTGTTCGTCTTCCTGCTAACTGAAAGTGACTCCTCTCCGATCCGTCCATCTCCGTATCGAATATAAAACATCAGCTCTCGTTTATTCATTCAAAAGGTATCCCCAAATCCTTCAAGGTCGGCAGATTACTCTTGAAACACAATTCACGTATTCTACACCATCATGCTCCCCCGCCTTCAATCTGCGAAAGACATCGTCGATGCCATGGACAAAGTCAACGCCCTGGATGCAATAGGTCGAGATGTTTCTGACATCTATAAATTTGCCGTGGGTCTCTCTGATTACTATGATGATCGACCTTCAAAACGGCGTCGGGAACAACCCTCGGATGACGAGACAGACCCTAATAATTTCGACGCTGTGATTTATGAATATGATGATTTACTGGTGAGCTCTATGAAAAAATTCGTGGAGAATTAATCTAATAATGTACGCTACTGTGTGCAAATACAGGAGTCACGATATGTGCTTCTGAACGCTAGGGCAAATCATCCTTTAGTTTTGGAGGATGACGAATCACCTTTCAGCTACATGAAGCTCAAGATCACACGTTCTGGATGCGAGTTCGATGGCAAAATCATCGACATACCTGATGAATATATTTCTAACGCGTACGAAAATGCCGCCATGTCAGGGTTTGGAAACGTTTCTACACAAGAAACTGATGGGGACGCCAATATTCGTGCAGCGAGGGAAATTCCTTCTCATGAATTCGAAGTTTCCCCTGAAATGATCGAGAAAATTCAATCAATTTGGGCGAAACATTTCTTGCCAGCCAAAGTTCGCGTCGAACCGTACAAGATTCATCTCTATGGACGTGGTGGTCAATTTCGTAATCATCGCGATACTCTTCTCGAGCAAGACCTTGCTGGAATCTTTCTGATTGGTCTCTACGATGATACAACTCCGTCCAAATGTTCAATCAACATCGAACACTTATCCCGACCTACCGACTACAGATCATACTTAGCATTTTATCCCGATGTTCCGCACTCCTTGGGGGACATCACAGATGGTTATCGTGCCGTCATTGCTTTCCGGCTTTTTCGTGACGATTCTCCTTCAATCAATGGTGCAGAGTCTGCGGCATCTGAGTCCAACATCTCTCCATACGAAGATAATTTGGCAAAACTTCGTGCAGCTGTAGAGACTGAGGTTTCACAAATGATAGCTCCTTTCGGAATCCATCTCAGTCGCTTCTACACAAAGTCTATGACCACACCAAGCGTGTTCGATTCTATCCTGCTCGATGCAGCACGGAAGAGAACCGATGTTCACGTTCACGTTTTACCTGTTGCGACATCTTTTCACGGTCATGAAGAACCTGACGAACATCATTGTCATGTCGAAAATAGTTGTGTCGACGCAAAAGTATACCCAATGACGGAAGCACACCTCAATTTCCTTCTTGGTGACAGGAAGGCTATCGAACGAGATGACTCTATAGCTTGGTTGAAGGATCTTAAAGAATTGATACCATTCATATGGTTGGATAAAGGTCGCATTTCGTGGTCCAAAAAACATGAGTCGCAGAATGTTTCTCTCAGACTCGAGTTCGATAAGGCTTACATTCACGATCACTATGAAGTATTCTGCAGTTATGCGATGGTTGTTCTTCCTAAAATCGAGGGGCTTCAGTCAGAGGTAGAGGCTATATAGAGAGATGGTCAAATGAATACAGCACTTACTGACTCCTGTATGTTTTATGAACATCAATCAAATTTGATTATATAGACTGCGCTGAAGTTCACTTTCTTTGGTTGAAGTTTTGAGTGGGTATCAAAATCAAAATAAAGGAATAAATGGTGGAATAAATGTCCTTTAGATATGCTCATAAGTTCTAATTCAAAAAAAGTATGTAAGTAACTTGGGATAGATGCATCAAAAAGAGCGGTTGAAAAAATTCTGTGCTCCCAGTGAGGGTCGAACTCACGACCTCAGGATTACTCGTCGAGATGACGATCACAGTGTGAAACTATGAGACCTGCGCTCTAACCAACTGAGCCATGGAAGCTTATTGCGATAGCTATACAGACACTCTTCCATTGAAATCCTTGTGTGTATCGGTTTCAACATTATATCAGCTACTGTATGTAGGGTACTGGGGTTGCAATCACATCCAAGTCTGGTCCTACAAAATGCGCTGTAAGTGCTTCTTCGAAAATCAAATCTTTAGCTCTGTCGTAGAGTGAAGTTAGACAATGAGTGAAGGTTAGATGACAACGTCAAGGTAACTCACCCGAGATCTTTGTCAAACTTGATATCGAACCTTCTAAATAGATTGGCAAATGCAATGAATAATTCGCAGTATGCAAGACTATGTAAAACGTTAGGACAGGCGATCACCAACTACACGAAATCCCAGGATGGAGACCGTCAACTTACTTGATACCTAGGCAACTTCGTGGGCCTTTCGAGAAGGCCACAATATCCGCATCCGCTAACTCTTCGTTGTAACCTTCTGATACAGTCATAGTAGACGGAGATTGTTTCAACCAACGCTCAGGAAGAAACTGATGAGGGTTTGGAAACAATATTGGACTTAAATGGACAAATTGGTTGGACACTCCGATGATTGTCTACAAATCATGATACTGATATTCAGTATGAAGTTCTGAAATAAAATGGGAATCTGTGTGAACTCACATTACCAGGAATAAAATGGTCGGATATCCGAGCACCCTGAGAAGGAACGATTCGGCGTTGAGGTATGACCACTCCGTGACTCAAGCGAAGGGACTCTTTAACGACGGCTTTCTATTTTGAAAATCCAACGTTAGATACTAGATTTCAGCTACAAAATAGAAACTTACCAAATAATCCAACTTCTCCAACTCTTCATATTTCGGAGCCCCTCCTGACAATGATGGCCATGCTTTCTCTAGTTCTGCTCTTAATTTCCCATATATTTGTGGATTATCTATGACATTGACCATCCCGACTGTGAGTGCGTTACCAGTTGTGTCCGTCCCGGCGAATATAAGCAACCAGGCTTCTTCGAAGAGGTCATATTTATCTAGGTGTCCTGTGGTATTACCGTCTTTTCCTCTTCTCCCAAGGCAGAGAGGTATCAAATCATGGTAGATGGTTTGATGAGTGGCTGCGTTTAGAAGATCCTCGTTTGCGAGAATACTTTCAATTTGATTCATAACACGCTGTAGATGTATCTCAGGATTAAGAAGAACATGGAGAGTAAGGAGTGTGACGTGTTCTTACCTTGCGCATTTGAGAGAATCCTCTAAGCCCCTCTCCACCGACTAACTCCACAAACCAGAAAGGAAACAAATTCAACACCGACCTAGTAACAGGAAAATTGAAGAATAAACGATAAATAGGCATAGCGATATCCATTGACAATAATGCAGAGAGTTTGAAGTCAGGTGCTTGGATGGCACCGAAAGATTGGGCGAAGGATATAGAAGTGATTGTATCCAACACAAAACTGCGAACAACACCACGTATGTTGGATGTTTGACCAGATTTATGTCGGTCTGTGAGAACAGCGCATACTTCTTCCATCTGCAAGAACCGGTATGGGGCAATATGAACAGAAATCAATAAAGTGTTCTTTGGGCTGAACATCAAGAACGTATGCACATGCCTTTTCTTGGACTATAGATTGAAGATCCAGAATAGAGCGACGAGAAAAGAAAGGGGTAAGAAGGTCTTTCTTTTTCTTTGCTTGCGAATATTCACAAGTCGAAATGGTGGAGATCTTGTGAGTAACCGACATTCCTAGGTACATGTCGGACTCTTTACACCATTTGTTTCGAGCATTGTAAATATCATCGTAAGCTGAAGGTCGGCTAAAGTGTAACTATAAGATGACACGTTAAAAAAAGCACTACGCTGAGTCGCAAGTCAGAACGCACTTCGTTGGGGCCAATTCTAATGACATCCCCTTGAAGGAAACGGGACGCAGTCTCAGCAAAACACACGGGATCCGATAAATATAAAGCCTCACCATAGACAGAATGAAGCTGAGAGAGCTTCTCATACAAACTACCTTGTTGAACAAGTTCCAAATGGGCCCTCCATAATTTTGTCATCGCCGCAAGTTTTGGTCCCGGAAATTTAGCCAGAGGATGGAGGTATATGTTATAAATCCATGAAGCAAGTGTCCAGATAGCCACAAGAACAATAGTTGCAACGAACATTGTGAACAAGTGAGGGATGATATGTTGAGCAGAGACGGTAGTCATTCGGTGGGTGGTTTCACTAGCCATGTTTGCTACCAGTCGGAAAGAAAACTCCAACCTGTATCTTTATGAAGGAGTTCTTCGATGTCCTTCTGATCTATTTGCCTGGGACATTGAAGCCTGATATCATATAAACTTTTGCCACTTCTTACCATTCAAACTCCATCGGGAAGCCTTGTGAGAGGGACGTAAACTTCGAGTCCTGCCATCAGATCAATCAGCGAGCCACTTTATCTCAGCAGCACTAGAATACGGCATTTCCGAAGGTAGAACCCACGAATTCAACGCACGATGGAGCTTTGACGGACTCAGAGGTGAACTCGTTTCTCCTTTGGAGACTTCACCGTTGTGCTAGGAGATGATCGCAGATACCGAGGGAAGTGAATAGCAACTTACTGTGTTGCGACACGGAAACAGCTGTTCAAATTCGTGGTGTCTTGGTCCTGCAAACTAAATGCCAAGAGGTAATGAAGTAAGATACCAAAACCGCGGGTTGTGAACTTACCTTTAATTCGGTTATGTAGCATCCAGGTCTCCTCAACTTCACATTACCTCGGAAGTAATTATGTTGGTAGCGAGTACACGAACGGAAGTACTTATGCACATAATACTCAGAATGCAAATGCCTTGTGATCAGCGTACAATCACAGAACTTGTTCCAGCAAGGTTGAAGATAAGCTGATGAATGAGCACAATTAGAAGACGTCTCTATTAATCTAGACTAATGGGATTTCATCAGTGGACGGAGACATGATATAATAAGACCTTCTTACGTCGAAGCTACTGAGAGTGTGCGTGTTTCCTCCGTTCAACGACTTGCTTCCCTAACGCCTCAACTTCTTTCTGCAAAAGCGCGGTTACAGCACTCCTTATCCTCTCATTCTCGATAGCCATTTCTTCGTGTGCTTGACCATGTACATCCTTCTCCCTTTGCGCGACTTTCAACTTCTGGCTGGCCAAGGTCATCGCATTACCTAGCCAGCCTGCTTCCGCAGCTTCTTCACTTCTCCCTTCATCTTCTGTGCTGAACACAGGTTGGGTTGAGAGAGACTCGTATGAATCACGTTGAAGTAGGGAAGTAGTTATTTGGCTTCGAGAATCAGCGGTAATGGTTTTGAGTAGTGTTTTGATTTCGGAAGTGTCAATTGGCTTGCCAAAGGTGACTGTCAGTTCTACTCCACGTTTAGGAAAGAATTTATACGGAGATGAACGACCCTCTGGCATTAGCTGGTCGAAGCCTGTAAGATTCTACATCAGCAATTTACAAAATTTTAATGCATGTAAGGCGACATTACCAGTTATCCACATTGGAATAATTATAGGAGGCTTTTGAACCTCCATTAATATTCGTCCACTGCAACCAAGCGATCATTCAATTCGTGTTATCACCTCAATGGTATCAACATCATAGACACTTACACACCCCATTTGAACCGTAAAAGCCTAACCTCCTTCTTTGCCTCAGCTTGGAGTTCCGAGAAACGCAAAGTAGGATTATTAGGTTGGTTGACTTTTCCTTCACCGAATAGATGTATCTGACATCCATGAGTATATCAGGCCTCGTGAGTACACCAGATAAAGGACATATGCGAGAGAGACATACCCAAGCACCACCGTTCAGCTTCTCAATAGCTGTGTCCACGGCAGGTTGGAAAACACCTTTCCCTCTAAATGTCTCTATCACCTGTCCGTTACGAAAGAATACTGAGAGAACACTTTCTAGGGGGGTAGATAGAAACGGTCTCGTTGGTTAGAAGAGCAATAGAACGAGAAAAATCCATATAGCGGAGATAGGAAAGACGTACGGATTTGTGAACATCATATCTGAAGCACCTAACACCCATCGAGTTGTCCGTGAATTGAAGTAATACCGCCATGGCAAAACACCCCACGTCGCTGGGTCGTCTAGCCTATCTCAGAGCGTTGTAGGTAAGATATTCATATGTATCCCATCATTGGTTGCACAAACTCACGTCGATATATGATTCGACACTAACACGGGAACGCATTTGAAAGTCAATGCAAAGTGTTGGCGCATATGTATGTGTAACTTACATGTTATGATACCTCTCCCATTGCCTCTCTCATCCTCATTTTCCAGGGCCTCAATCAAGTTCTCTAAGCCGTACACTTTCACAGATGAGCAATATCCAATGCTAAGAAAAGTTTTGCAGGTGAACCCGATCGTCGCAACGGTCAATTTGGAGATAAAGCTTGAGGTCATAGTTTCTGGCTTTTTCTGGCAGAGAGATAAAACCAAGTGATCCTAAGTGCAGCGGGCCAGCAGTGAACAAATGTAGAGAACATTCGAAATGAGGGTGGCGGGAGAGCAGGTATAAGCGCTTAACGGAAATGATGTGAGCAGAACTTCCCACGGATATGTTTTGTTGTTTGCCAAAGTTTGCGTTCAACAACTTCTTACCTCATCTTTCACTGTGTAATTTTCACTGCATTTATACTGGAAAACATGTGGAAAAATAATTGGTTGTTCTTGAATGTTTTCCACATGTTTCCTATATAACTTTGTTGTATTGTCTTCCCTCGTATTGAGAAAGTCACGCACCCGTCATTGGACTCTACTATACATGTTGCTCAAACCTAGAGGTGTGATAACAGTTCTATCATGTCATATCTTACTGACTTTGAGCCTACAACATTTTACTATCATGTTCGTATATCTGTCGCTGTAGATATGGCCGATGTTTCGCCCAGGCTCACATACTCGACGATTTTACATATGTAATAGAAGAATTTGATGACGTGAGAACAAGTAAAAGAATGGGGTATACCTAAATATCAACCATCCAAGGAATAC